GGTCACGTGGCTCCGGAACAAAAATAATTCTGAGGGAGGAGTTCTTTGTCTCACATTTTTTTGTCTGGTTAACTCGCAACGTTCACTCAGTGATCGCAACAGCAAGATAGATTTGCTAACCCTACTACAACTATAACTGAAACTAAGGGAAATTTCTGCCTAAACAAAACTATCAGATAAACAAGTGAATTACCAGAGAAGGAATCAAACACTAGCGTTGTCGCTGGTTTAACCGATGACACCATTCGCTAAAAATCTACGATCTTGAGTTATACACAAGCGAGTTAATTTTTTGAAGGTAAAATCCCTGTACGTTGAACTTCTATATTAAAAGTTTCAATGTTTGTCTGACAACGGCCGGTAATCGGGCCAAAAAAACCTACATCATTTGCGGTCTTAGCAGTTCGGCGTGACAAACCCCCGGGACAAAACATGGCAGTTACATTGAGAGCAAGGAATTCAGTTAATGCATTTACGATCAAAGTAATATTTTCGATCTAGTGACTTCACGGAAAGCTATTGCCTAAAATGTCAGCCTTTTCCACCTCCTAACCTTTGTTATGATGCGGCAATAGAAAAGTGGTAAAAAGATCAAAGATAAAAATAATTATGTACCAACGCGACATGGAAGACAACAGGAAATAGTGTAAACAGAGACAAAACGGACAACGTAACCTACATAATAGTAGCCTTGAAAACACATACAGATACTGTATTTGTTTTCTAAAGTGGCCTCTACAACATAGAAACGGAGATACAAATCTAATGAGTTTTGGTATGAATACTACTACCAGGATACCTAAATTCAGGAGAACCAATGCTTACCCTAGAGACGGCCCCTCCCTCCTGCCTAAATTATTTTTGACTGCACAAACGGTGAATCCTCCGCAATTTCCGTTGCATGTGCCAAATGAAAGCATCGCTAATATACATCCGATTAACATCCAGATATTCTGCAGGAATTTACGCTTTCGCTGTCAAAGGATTTTGTGCATTATTTTCGGCTTTCAAGATCGGGCCAGGTACACAGTTTCATGGCTGCACTGAGCTGTCTACGCTCTGTAGAGACAAATCTCACACTTACCTGCCCCTCCCCCAAATCGTTTGTTTGTAATCTCCCAGATTCTGGGAGACACGTGACCAGCGTTTTCTAGGGTCTCTCTCTCTCTCGCTCCGTAGGGCGGGTAGAAGAGAACCCTGGGAACGAGGTTGGACTATGCAATGTTACAGTCTACCATTCGTTTTTTCCTAAATCGCCATGTTTTGGGACAAACATAGGACAACTTAAAATAAATAAACGTAAAGTCTGGTGGCTGATTGGTTTCAGCCACCCCCATTAAAAATCCTGGATCCGCCCCTGCTATGAGCCAATTTTAAACTCCATATTCATGAAAAAGTTCTACGGCCAACGAAGACGGCACGAAAATAGTCGTTGTAGACGTCAATCCAAGTCCCAGAGACGACCCAGCAGACCAGAAAATACGTCATTTCCGAGTTCTCCCGGGCCTCTGTATCAAAACGAGGTTAACTGCTCAACCTTTGATATGGAAATGATTTTTCATTTTCATGCAAACTCATTTTCACAACAAAATTTTGTGCACGTGTTGGCCTCATTTTGAAAGTGAGGGTTTTTGGAACTCGGAAGTGGCCTATTGCAGAAAGTCCAACTGGCGATACCGATTTTGCAAGACGGGTCACCCCAGTAACTAAAGATCAACCAGTAAACCAGAAAATGGCGGAAATCCAACTAGATTTCTCCGAGGTTTTCTTTGAGGACAATTGATGAGTCAAAGGGGAAAAGCCTCAAACGGGAATATTGTGGAACATCCACCGACCAGTGCAGTGGATCTTTATACCGCTTGAGAACTGTGAAACCTAAGAGTAAACGGGAGCCAAGCTGGGATGGTCCTTCTGCCTTTTCCATTACAAAAAAAGCTCCTACGTGATGATGCATTTATAAAGTCCTATATTTCCTCTCAGTAGTGAGTTTACGCAACAGAACGGCAGGAAGAAGAGTATGGCAAAACACTTGGGTGTGACAAACGTGACAGGGCTATTACTTGCATGTCTTGTCGTTATCTTCACTTAACACCAAATAAACAATGTTTTCTGGTCCTTTACAAAAAGATCTTTAATTTTAAGGGAAAGTGAAGTTTGGCAAAAAGTTGTTTCAAAAAAATTATTGTCACACTTGTCACATAAGGGTTGCCGCCTTCTCTCCTCTCCCGTCCAGTTGCGTAAGTTTACTAAATACTGGAAAACACAAAACTTTTGGTCATGTAGTAAAAGCGACCTTGCAATTTCTTAATTTTTCAAAACTAGAGCTCCGATCATGAATACTCCCAGACACTGAATATTTCGAAAAGAAAACTTCAAACCGCATTTACAGTATGGAACAAACGTTTACTGTATGTTTGACAAGTGTTTGTCCGAATTTTGCCGGAGTACCTGAGACGATGTGCCGATCTAGTTTATGAATGATTAGATATGCGACAAAATACCGGTTAAATTGACCGTTAGAAGAGTATAGTACTAGTGACTAATCAGTTTAAATATATAAATAATCTGAGATAAATAAGCAAGGTAATAATTGGTTTTAGAACTTTTCTTAATATGGTTATCGCTAATGTCTTCTATTTTGCGCAGTATCTTTTTTGTATCTTTCTGCATGAAACAGGTCACTTTATATCAATAGTGAAAAATGAACTATACAGTCCTGCGGATAAATTGGTCAAAGTTATACTAAGATTTGTATGCTTTTGTTACCAACACATGAGCGAAAATTTCCTTTTATGCTGATTATAAAGAAAACAAAACCAGTTCTCCCTGTGAACGTTTGAAGTTGCAAAAAAGGAAACCTAGGTTGACTGATTTATTTGGCTGCTCTTTTATTCATGGCCTAAATTCCACCATCCATACCCGCTGTCCACTAAATGGTTAAGATACTCTTCCCCAAACTGATATATATACATTTAAATATATATATTTTACGTTCTAAATGTTTACTTTTTTTATTTTGGAAATTATCTTCAGATTTCCGGCATCATAGTAAATAGAAAAGACGTCAGCTGTCGATGGAACGTTGAATAAAAAATATTTCTTAAGTTAACCGAAAATCGATCAAATGGTGATTTTTTGGGGGGTGCTGAAATGTACCAGTAAATATTGAAATTAAAAATATTTTTTCATTGTTCGCTTTCACGTTTCGTGAATTTGCGATTTCACAAAGTTACTCGGCTCAGTAGCCTGCGTTGTAGCCGGCCCACGCACCCGTCTAAACCCTTTGTATGCAGAAGGTTTAGAGCGTCTGCGACGCAGGCAACCGGCTCAGCTATAACTAAAAAAATGTGTCATTTTAGGGGAAAAAAGTAGCTTTATTCCATATTATAATACTTTTCTGATATTAGTGAAATACAGAAATCCGTGTTACTTAGGGAAAGATTGTGGGTAGTTGTTTACTAGTGCTCCTTTGAGGAGGTGACTCATTATAAAATACGATCCTTCCAAGATTCTAGGAGGCGGTGTATAAAGGTAAAGCACCATCCAAGAATGGTCGAAGGAAAAATAACTCATTACAGTTCTGAATGATTAATTATCACAAAGATTCCCCTCCCACATAACTCAAGAAACAGAATATAACATCATGAGCTACGCACATGTTTTTAAAATATAAATCATTATTTAAATGTGGTTAAGGATTTTAAGTAAAGTGGAAGTCATTTATAATAATAAATTCAAAATTGCGGATTCAAGATGGTGGATGATTTCAGTTCCTGTTTTAGTAATAAGTGACATCATCATGACATTATTGCCATTGCCAAAATTTATTTATATGTGTTGGCCAACTTCTTGATTATATCAGACAGTCAACTTACTAGTTAAGTATTTTTCGCTTTATGGCTTTATACTTTGAGGAAAATTTGAAAATATATGTTAAGAAATTGTATTTTATGAAAAAAGAAGCATTTCTCTCAAGCGTTTCTTTCGAATCTATCATCATACGAGCTGAGGTAAAAAAAACAACAACTTCAAATCAAACTTATTTAGGGAACGATAGTGGGTTCATGATAGCTGGTCAGTTAGCTGGTAGGTTCATAACAGCTGGTCCAAGCTCTTTAGCTTCATCAGCTACTTCTGATTTCAGATCCTTTGACGGCTGAATGTACAATGTTCTTTACTTCCGTTGCTAGGCAATACAAAGAAAAATAAATGCCTTTCATTTTGCTCCTTTTATAAAATCTCGAAAATTTAGCACATCAATTTTTTGACGTTTGTTTGTTTGCTATTTTACTTCTAAACAACTTATCAGTTAAGTATTTAAATCATACAAAGAAGGGACATGAGCTAACATGAAAGCAGTATATTTATTTCATCAATTAACATTTGACTCCTCTGAAGTCGAAATCCCCAAGAAAATGTTCTTTTTTTCCCAGAAATAAATCTAGAATATACTCAAACTTGATAAGCTTACACTAAAAAAATAATTGAGCTAAGGAAAAACAAATCTACATTGTTTAATTCGCTTATTTGCCGTTAACAATGGATACAATATATCTGATACTAAAATATTTTCGTAGACCACACGTGCGCTACTGGGAAGAAAATCATTAGAAAATTTGAAAACAAATTGCCTTTATTCTAGCTTAAATATTTTAAAATCTACGAAAACTATAAAGCTATGTAGAAAAAAAGGGAAAAAGTGAATCGCAAGATATTTGTTATTTAATTACTGCACTCTATTTTCGGATCCCTGAATATCTGTTCAAATATATTTAAACAATCACTTAATTGTTCAACCCTAGGAAAAAAGTCAGCTGTACAAAAATCAAAAGTATTCAAAACGTGGCTCAAAAGAGAATTCAAAACTGAAACTCAGGTGTCAAAAATAAGACACTTAGTCCCCACGTTATGTAACAGTGAGAAGAACGTCTCAACTATACATGGAACCTCATTCGAAAAACATCAAAGTAAACTTCGGCGCTCTTTAGATACTGTCATAATTTGATAGTGGATTTGGGGCGGGACGCGCCGCAAAAATTCTGAAAATGCAAGATTACTCTTCCACCACAATATCTGTGCTTGTACTTCTGCCATTACTGGCTGTCTTCGCAGTTGCTGGAAATGTGCTCGTTCTTGGTATCATTGCTCGGTTTAAGAAATTTCGCACCTTTCCAAACATTCTAATCGCTAATCTGGCGTTCATGGATTTACTCCGCGGGCTCATTGAAGCACCCATGTACCTGCTTTGGGGTGTCCTTAATGTCGCATGGTTTACAGGAAAGACTTTTGCGATAATTTCGCTTTTTGTGACCCGCCTCTGTTTCCATCTTAACACCGTCTCCATGTTGGTGCTGCTCGTAAATGTGTCTATGGCAATAGCACTAGACCTAAAATATTTCACATGGAAGACGAATGAAAAAGCTATGGAAATAGTACTTATAGAGTGGGTGGTCTGCTTTGGCGGAACTATTTTGTTGTCGTGGTTTGATTCTGATATCGACCTTCAGGATGCTTCTGTTTTCAGTTACCGTCGGGCCTTTTTAATTAAATCAAAAATGGTCTTGATAGTGATTCTCGCAATGTTTATTTTGACCACAATTGCTATCGGTGTCCTGGTATTTTGCTTAATCCAAAGGAAGAAACGCCAGGTGAGATCAAAAGTTTATAATAAGTATTTTTCTATTTTATTTTCCAGGCATCCTTATGCCACCCTGATAAGGGAATGTGCAATAATTATCAGAAGGGGGGTTCTAAAATCCAATGGGGATGGTGGGGGGGCTAAACTTAAATTATGGTGTAGGGTGGGGAAGTTTAGATGTCAATTTTTTTTAACATAGAGGGAGGGTTACAAGTTATATTGATGTTTGAGTGGTACATAATTTATTCAAACTTAACTTCTTTGTTATTGATCTGGCTTCTAAGAATATCACGAATATCAAGAACAGTACATGGCACACCTAGAACCCGTAATTAATAAAAACTTTGCAATGAGGCATAATCTGTAAACTGAATAGCCTTTGTTATTATTAAAGACTTCTTTACAAAAAAAAAAATCAAGAACAAACGTGTCACAACGTATATGTAGTTTGACACAAATCACAAACAAGCAAAACAAATATTACTAAACATGACAATTTGAACAAAAGCTGTGAACGAGGTCCTTGGCTTTCCCAATAAAGCATGATTTGCATGCAAGTATAGATCACGCAGAATTTGACAGTTTGTGAAGTAAATATTGAGAGATTTTCTTTTTCAATATGATCTACTTGTGGGATCCTATAAATATCAGGTCCGGTACTCACTGATAACGGGGCTTCCCCCTTATGAACGGACGCGCGCAAGGGAGACGCGCAAGAACCACCCCCCCCTCCCCCCTCCAGGTTATTGCACAGGTTATTGTATTATTGCAAAGCCCCTAACAGAGTGTTGGATTCGCTAGGATTTGAACAGTCTCGGAGTCGGTTATTCCCATGACCTATGATATGCTGGAAGCTTGTTTACAATCAAACCAGCAACGTTCATATCCAAGTCTTAGGTTTTTATAATTTCTCAGGAGAAGAATGTTTCAATAAAAGCCTCTTGGACCAGGGCAAATCGTTCTCGGCGTAATATATCGGTGTAAGATATCTAAGTAGCTCTTAAAGCAATGACATACAATAAAAGCATTTGAATATTACAGGTTCATTTGCAATAATAATTATATTTTCATTTCAGAAATACAATATCTTTTATCATGTTGAATTGAAGAGAAAATTTATCATTTTCTGATTCTTAGGGATGTAGAGTCAGGGATGGTCTTATTTCAACCATATGTAGAAAATATAGCGCATTAACCTGATTTGATGGCATTCTTTCATAGAGAAAGCGGTTAAATCTGCCCCGACTCCAAGGCCAGGCCAGACTTCAACTGGATATCCAGGCTTCCAAAACTGTCATCATTACTGTACTTGCATTCCTAGTGTGCTACACACCGCCCCTCTTAATTGCAATCCTGGGTCCTCCTAAAGCTGATCCCATCAAAGTGCATTTTCCTCGTCACATAGCTTTCCTTTGCACGCTCCTTTCCAGCGGGATCAATCCCGTCATCTTATGTTTTCGAGCGAAAAGGTTTCGCCGCGCACTGAAACAGCTTCTTCAAGACCCCTTCGGAAAAACCACTTTTCAAGACACGGAGCAAAAGAAAAGATCCAAAGAGAATGTTACGTGCAAGAATGCATGCGAGGCTGAAAAAGACAAGGCGAGAAACGACCCTGCAGCTTGCTCATCCAACAGCTACATAGATGAAATTGTAAACACAGGTAAAGAGAGAGGACGACGCTTGCGTAATCAGATCATGCCCTTTCCATCACAGGATGCACATTCTCAGATCAGGCCATGGTTAGCATGGGTTGGCAACCATCTCACAGACCCTGCGGAGATAAGCTCCGGAGAAGAAAGTCCAACGCCAAGAGAAGATTATACACAGCATGAAATAACTGTGGAAGTACACCCAGAACCCAGCGACCGATCATCAAAACAGGAAAATGGGGAAAATCCAGCAACACCAAACACGTCACCGTGAGAAAAGTTCCAAGACAAATGAAGTCTTTTTTATGGTTCACTCAGATTCCATGAGCAATCAATTAAACCAGAAAATGATAAAAATTCCTGTGAGTAGTGCAGATTGCAATGATGAGACCATTCTGGAGATGCCTAAAACATATCATTTGAGCCAAATATCAAGCTCCATAATTATGGACGGTCCTGCGGCCAATTAAGACGTAGACGTTAATTCAAGTCCCAAGGACGACCCATCAAACCAAAAAAATGTGCAAAGTCCAATTCCCGGTACAAATTATGCAAGATGGGTCAGGCCATGGCCAGATACTGAACTGAGATCAACCAGGCCAGTAAATCAGAAAATGACAGGAATTTATTATAACTAGATTTCTCGGAGGAAGTCTTTGTTGAGTGAGATTTATTAGCGAAGGGGGAAAGCCTTGAACAGGAATGTTGCGTTACCGACCAGTGCAGTGGGTCTAATACAACAGTGAATTGTGGAACTTAAACGGGTGCCGTACCCAAGCTAGGATCGTTTTTCTGCCTTTCCATTGCAAAAAACTCCTAAAATATGTGATATTGCGGTTATAAAATTCTCTATTTCCTGACAGCTACGGAAAAAAGCTGAAAAACAAAAAGCTTCTGGTCCTTTTGCTCTGTAAAAAAAGCGAACTTCCAATTTCCTAAATTAAATACTAGTGCTCTGAGCCTCTGATCATGGATATTCCCAGACATTGCATATTTCGAAGAGAAAACTTCAGACGAGATTTATGTTCGACAAGTGTTCGTCCGAAATTTTGCCAGAGTGTTTAATGTTCCCGTCTAGTTTATGTATGATTAGAGATGTGGCGAAATAACGGTTAAATTGTCAGTTAGAAGAGTATAGTACTACTGACTAATCAGTTAAAATATGTAAATAATCCGATGTGAATAAAATTATAATTGACTTTAGAACATTTCTTTGGTTACCACCAATTTATTCTAGATATTCTATTTTGCGTTGCGTAGTTCAAACCAGTCTTCCATTTTGTGTCTTCCTGCGAATGAAATCACATGCATTATAAAAATAATGAATTGAGATGAGAGTGGCCAGAAAAATGAATAATTACACAGAATTGCGAGTAAATTGGTCAGAGTAAGCCTAAAATTTTCAAGCCTAAAAGCGAAAATTTCCTTGTATGTTTTGTCAATAGTGTTAATTATTGAGTGTTCTCTCTGTGATCGTTTTGACGCGAAAAGAAAGAAATCTAAATTGACTGATTTATTTGGCTACTCTCTTATTTTGTCCACGAATTAAATTCGACCATTCACACCTGCGGGCCACTAACTGGTTCAGGGACCGCGCAGGGGGGTGGAGCTGGAGGACCCCCCCCCCCCCCTACTTTTTCAGATGTTTTTTACTTTGGTTACCCCGATCTGTCACTTACCACAGACAAACTTTGTCTTGAGCTGTTGCCAATTAGTTTGTCGCTCTTAATGATAATCGGAAAGGCAACTTTGGCACCTTCCGAATCCGACTTAAAAATGTCCGGTGACACTCAACCGTTTTGTGTGTGGGCCAAAGTCTATTCATTTAAATTTTGGTCTAACGTGCGGGCTAGGTTGTAACTTGTTGTTTTAAGTGCCGATGTAACAGTTACAAATTTATATTACTATTAGCAGTTTTAGATGGATTTATAGCCATTTCAGAAGACTTAAATTTGAAATTTTCCCGGGGGAGCATACCCCACTACCCCCTTAGTTTGCTCACGCTTACGCGTTCGCATTAGCACCCCCGCATGAAAATCCGCTCCGCGGGCCCTGTGGTTAAAGATAGTTTTCCCCAACAGACCGATATATATTTTACGTTTGGATGTTTACTTTTTTATTTCCCTCGTATTAGAATTTTTCGCAACTATCAATGCTCGTAATACAAAGGAAATTCGTAGTTATTTTGTTACAATGTTCTCGTAGATTTCGGCATAGTAACAGAAGTAGAAAAAAACGCCAGCTCGCGATGCAACCTCATTTAAAATATTTTTTAACTTTACCAAAATTCGATCAAATGGTGATTTTTTTTGGACCTGAAATATACCAGTAAATATTAAAATTAAAAAGATTTTTTCTTTGTTTGCCTTCGCGTTCCGGCTTGTGCAATTTTACAATTTTTTATGTCTCAGCTGTAACTTGAAAAAATGTTTTAAAATGTGTCATTTTGGAAGAATGCCATACTTTCCTGAGATTGATAAAACACAGAAATCTGGTTTACTTGGGGAAAGACTGTGGGTTTACAGTTTACTTGTGCAATTCCTTAGAGAAGGAGACTCATTATGAGTTACGTTTTCGGGGGGTGGGAGCAATTTACACTGGTAAGCCCCTTCCCAGACCAGTCGAAGGAAAAATCATGACAGATCTGAATGATTGAATATCACAAAGATTCCCCCGCCACATCGAGAAACCGAAAATTGTATCGTGAGCGACGTACATTTTCAATCAAAATTTCAGTGTTTCGCCGGATTATAAACGCCGACAGCCGAGAAAGTGGATACGTATTTTCCCTTTCCTTTTTAAAATGTTTTCACTAAACCCTATCCGGGCTGGGGGACCTTGCTAAAACGCGGAATAATTATAACTTCAAAACCGTCCACGCTATGACCGCCAAACTTAGCGTTTTTTCCTAAAATTTATCTGGGAACATCTGGGAACATTTTTTAAAAGGACTTTAAAAAGTCCTCGTGACGTGTATATTAGCATTGACGTTACCATGGAAACCGAGTTTGTTTGCCATTTGCATTTTTTTTTTCAATAAAAAGGTTTTTATTTCTACTTTTACCTAACGAATTATTATACTACACTTAATTTAGGATTAATTTATCAAATTTATTACAACTGCTCCACTGTAATCCAGGCTTATTTGCGATTAGTTTGAGAACAAACAAACAAAAAAACATGAATCTGTATATGACTAAATGGCAGATGCGGGGTTTAATTTTCATAAGTGTTCCTTTCCCTTTCACAACTTGCAGATTTTTTTTTTTTTTTTGCTTATTATTAAGCATAGTTTTATACACAGATTAAATTTGCCATTAAAATTACCTGATTTATACGGATTTTAAGTAAACTAAAATATATTTAATAGATTCAAAATGGCGGATTCAAGGCAGCGGATGGTTTCATTTCCTTTTTTGTAATAAGTTACATCATCATGACATCACTGTTATTGTCAAAGATTACTTATGTGTTAACCAACTTCTTGATTACACCAGACACCTTCTATTTCAGTATTGTTTGCTTGATGGCTTTATATTTTAAGGGAAATTTGGATTCTGCAAATAAATTCAACAATATGACTTCGTAATTATATCAAATTGCCATTATGTGTCACTCAAATTATACCTAGATGTTACAATGATAAGTACATTATTCTGTGTAATTTTGGTGGCCGTATCATGAGGGTCAGCACATTTTGTTTAGTTTTGCCAATGATTGCCTTTATTCGCAGATAGTGACTGTTTCGTGACACACAAACATGTCTTAAGGATATTATTTTTAAAGTTGTAGACAACAGAGATAAACTTTTAGGAAGATAGCCTTTTTAAAAAATTCGTATAGGCAATCCCTTTTTAATCTTTTTCAGTTTGTTCATTTGTGTCCTTACCTTTAATGTTTTGAGTCGTTCGTTTAATTTATCTTATGCACAGTTAATCAGACAGCACTTCAATGGGTCGGAATTCCAGGATTAATTTCGTGACACAGCTCCCTTAAGTGTTTATTTTGAGAACAGTTTGCCACGGTACTGAAAGATGACAAACTTCGTCAAGCAGAATTGTTCCCCAGAATTCCCTGTTCAAATTGAAGATGATTACAAGAATGGCAGTCAGGTGTTCATTACGCGAGCTAGTCTTAAATATGTAACAACAATAAAAATGTTGTGACTAACACGGACAATGTTATTCAAGAAACTTGTGACTTATTTAACGACTGAACTGAGGGCAACTGATACTAGGGCAACCATAATACTCTCAGACTTACATGCAAACTTATACCCACACCGTGACAGAAGGTAAAGAGAGTGATTGTAGCCCCCCTTCCCCCTAGCTTTTTCGTTACGTTACGATATAATCGGCTCCGAGATAATCGGGTCCGCTGAATTGAGAAAGCGCAAACACGAAAATAAAACGGGAGGAAACTTTTTGAGGGCCGTAGGTTAGAAAACTGTAATAGGTTATTGCGCTTCCCTCTTTGAATAAAGTTATTGTATTGTGTTGTATATTTTGAAAAGTCTGTCTACCCTTAATAGATAGGCTGTTATGTCATCTACAAAATGAATAGTTATTACATATGTTAATATTTCAGGATAGATTTGCAAATGGCGCTGTTTGGGGCCAACAACTTCCTCCAACATGGCGGAATTTTTTTAATCAGCTTTTTCACTAGCTTTTTCCACTATATTTTTCGTTTTCCCCCGAAAGTCTTACTGAGAAATAAACATACACCTTTCAACAGCTTAACATGTAAAAGATGCTTTAATACATCTTTACGGCTACTTTACAACTACTTCTGGCTTAGAACAAGACTCTAAAAGCTTACAACATCGCATTTTTAAAAATACGTTTAAAATTTTACACCACACCTCAGTTGTCATTCAATATATCCTTAGCTGTTCCAGGCACCGAGATAATCGGGTCCGCTGAATTGAGAAAGCGCAAACACGAAAATAAAACGGGAGGAAACTTTTTGCGTGCCTTTTTATTTTGCTTCTTCCCCACTATCTGAGAGCCTGGAACAGGCTAATATATCCTACACATATGAGCCGATTTCAACCAAATCCTGGGTGCATTTCTCAGAGATGAACGAACAGCTATTGAAATAGAGAAGAGCCCAGATTAAAAACAAAAAATGAGGGGATGGCATCCACCCATTGCATTCTCCCCCTACTCCCCTCTCTCTTTTAGGTTCGAGGGTTAAAAAGCTTTTCACCTAGGCACGACTACTTGTTGCAGTGCCGAGCTAAGGTCCGACCAGGCCTGCTTTTCTGAAACGCTCCACTTTGTCTCTTCTTAGGGTCATAAAACTGAAAAACGCTTTAATCTCGTTTTTTATGTCTCTTTTGAAGAAAGCATAAGCCAAAGGGTTTACCGCGGAGTTTAAAATTAACATAGGCACGCTATAGTTGAAAGCATTACATTGATCATTCCAAATATTAATGAAAACACATCGAATATAACTTCCGCAATAGATAGGGAGCAAGACTGTAACAATTGCCATCATTATCAATGCAGATTTCTCCCGACGCCTGTAGAAACACAATTTTCTTCCTAAGACGTTTGCCGTTCGGTTTTGCATGTATACAACACGAAACATTGACGTGCAGCAAAAGACTATCATTACACTTGGAAGAAAGAAAAATAATACAATAATCAGCCAAATAAGTACGAGCTTGCCTTTCGACGTAAATAAAAGAGAGGATTCTACCAGGATAATACCAACTGTTACTACCCAGGAGAACGAAATGAGCTGGATAACACGTGTGGAAGTCATAAAGGTCAGGTATTTCAAAGGCTTGACAACTGCTATGTAGCGATCCAGTACTAAAATGCACATATTCATCGCTGATGCATCCTGGAACAGCCACCTAACGACCTTTAGGCCTTTGTCAAGACCTTTTGAGTGACTTTGCCCAATCAGTTCCAAGAAGAAAAGCGAAGGAACCACGTTCATTCCAACACAAAAGTCTGCTACTCCAAGAGATACGATAAATGCGTTGGTTTTGGTTCGTAGATGTCGTCTGCTGCAAACAAGGAAGATAATAAACCCATTTCCAGTCATGGTTATAATTGAAAGAAACCAGACGAGCACCCAAAACCAAGTTTCCATGTTTGTACCAGACGTGGATCACAGAATTTATCAATCTTCGCTAGTTTATCTGTTTTTAATTGTAGATGATGTTTTTAGGCTGGTCAAACTTGCCTAATAACCAATTAGCGGCTAACAGAAACAGGAAGTCCGTCGAGAAACCGTCAAACTACCCTCTGACTAAAAGAGGATAGGCTCGTTATGTAATTGGTGAGACATGCTGTTTTATTCTTAAAGTTAATTACTTGTAGGTTCCCCGGTGCATCCGTGTTTCTATGCCGGAAAACTTTTTAACCTCTAAGCTAAAAAGGCTGCCTACTGCCTCGTATTATTCCGTGGATTTTTCAAATAGAAGAGATTAACTTCCTATAGATAAAGCTATTATTAAAATAGCCTTGACCAGAAGACATCTGACAGCACCCGACAATTTTCCATTTATTTATTTGTTGTCTCATTGATGACGGTTTGTGTTCGAGATGTATGGTAAATTGCAGTCAATATCCCAGTTTCCAGCTGTTTCGGTGCAGCGTATTATTTATCATACAAAAAGTGAATGATTTCCACCTTCAAATGCCATATAAACATTCTTGCACCTGCGTGGCACTTTCAGTATCAATTTTTGTTTCGTTTCGTTTTGGCTTTTTTGTTTTAATATGCTGAACTAGTGTGTTAAAAGGGTTCTAAACGTCTGTTAAGATGTATTAACGCCAGTTAACTCTGATCTGTCCACCTCTTGCAAAACGTCTCCTTTTCATCCAGACGAGACAACTAGGCTAATTTTCTACGGGAAGCCTAAAGTTACCTCAGTGCATAAATTATAGCGCATGTTTCGATAACGTTTTGCATCACGAAGTCTATATGACTTTTTATCGGTAATTTAACAGGGGGCATCACTGTCGTTCATCTTCCCCAAGCGAGTTGCGAATTCCTCGCAGAACAGCCGACCGTGCTAATTTCGTAACAAGACATTGTTCGTAATCATAAACAACAAGACATTAGTGCAACCAGCGAAGGGTTTCCTCCTAATCATTGACTAAAAACACTTTTTAGGCTACCCAGAGTACTTTTAGATCTCTAGAAATTCATTCCATGCGGCGCTATAGAATCAGTTTCTGTTCCGTCATGCTAGGCTAGGGGAACTTGAGTATTTTCGAAATTACGAGGGCTTCAGCATTATTTTCCCGAAAATTTTAGACGCAATTTAACGTATAAAGAAAGTGAGAATTTTACTGACTCACTCCTCCCACCAAAACATTTTTGAATCCGGGAATTTTAGGTAGTTCAATAATTATTCATGAAGGGAACGGTCATCTAGAAACTTTTAGCCTTCCTCAAGCAGAAGAAAATTCTAGGCAAACCTGCTTCTCTAAACAGATATTCTACAGAAAACAGTTCTATCTGAGCTTTCTACATGAATCAGGGAGGCTGCAACGTAGACTTTGAAGATGCATTGCAGCACATCAAAAGGTGTGTAGCAGGAGTTTCAGACAGCTAAGTGATATTTCAAAAATATCTAGGAATAAGTCATTCGACTTCAGAGCAAGGTCTGGAGCAATTTTTAAAGAGTACCTTTTAAGGAGTAGCACAATTAGCAATCGGCTTTTGTTTTCAGAATAAGCAAACACTGGAATTACTTGGCGAGTCGAAACTTCGTACAGGTGATTTGTTCTACCTCAGAGCAATTTGTTTTAAAAGACATATTAAGAAAATGGACCTGAAAAATTTTTTGCTCGAGAAATGTCCAACTGGCTGTTTTCTATGTCATTCTTAAACTATAATCCTACAATTTTTAACGTTGCACATACACGCATAATTCTATATTTCTATTACTTATAGTATGTTATTTATATATCTTGAAGTTTTTTTTTTCTAAGTCACAAAGATCTAAGTCTAGAGTATATTTTTTTTATTTTTTGTTATTTATTAAATAGCAAAAAATAAAAAGTATACAAACAACGTCCTCGATCTCCATAATTCTTCATAAGAACTCAGCCTCATTCATTAATTGTTAAATATCCTTTTTTACTTTTCCAGAATTAGTGCATTCAGGGTAGCATATTAACAGCGGAGCAAACACACAGAAAAATAACATGAAAGAGATCAAACTAAGAATTTATTTCCTTTAAATACTATAAAATTTGAAAATAGATATATGGTATAAAATACTTGTTTAGTCCACTGAAAACAAAAGCCGATTGCTAATCGTGCTACTCCACTGAAAATATGTATCCACTGCCAATATGTCTGCATAGTTAGGTTAAAAAGCTCCCAGTCTTTTCATTGGCGGTGAAGTGAAAGTCCGTAGGTTTAGTTATTTCGTCGTACAAGAAATGGAGATCTTCACTCGTTAATTCTGTAGCCTTTGTTTCAACTTCTTCTCTGTTACCATCCTTATTCATTTCTTTTTTGGCATTCCCTTGCACTGAAGAAGAGTGCCTCGAACGATTTCCACTGGGTGGTCCAGTGAAGGATCTCCACCGGTGCAATTGGGAGCTGTTGTCACGGAGCGGCGTGGATTCTACTATTACAAAGGACTCGCTTGTTATTTCTTCCTGTTTTGTTAAACTTTTCAAGTTTATGACTCGGAAAACGTAAAGTATTTTTCTTCGTCCTTTTCTGACAACAGTGTTCTTGTCGCTCACGATTTTCCTTTGATCCTGATGGACTAAATTAATTTACTTTTTACACATGCAGTCGGTATCTTCTAATCCTTTGATCTGGTGCGAGATGAAATAGATTATAGATTTTTCAATTGGCAATTCACTCACTTGTTTCAACAATTTAGTTTGAAATAGCAGTTCCTCTTGCGAAAATTATACCAGTTCGTCCCCCAAAAATAATAAATACGTCGTTAAAATCGATGCAATGAGCTCTCAGCAAAACAGGAATACAATGTTTGAAAATCTAACTGCACTGATTATAATAACAAAACAAATCTGTTGAAAAGCCAATTACGTCAACGAGCAATTAAGGACAAAATTAGCGGATTGGACTACACCAGATCATCAAAGCAAAAGATTAGTACTCTGTAAAGACTAATATATAGATTTAGCCAGGGCTAAAATCGTCGTAACGGTTCTAGTTATCTAATTTATTAGGGAAGATCCATATGACTTTTAAGGGTGTGGCTGGGTGATTTTAGGGAAAAAATAATTTCCAAACAGTGCAAGAATGAAACAACATCTAAAATCTTACACCCAATAAATAGCAATCACCTTGGGCCACAGTAGATTAGACGTGGAAGACAAAATCTACCCAAGCAAAATGACCTATTTGCCCTGGACAGTCCCGAAATACCCGAAGTAGTCATTCGATAAAAATCGATAGCAATCAAGTGATTTTTATCGATTGATAACGGAAATCGGTGAAAATAAACTTAGTAGTTGTGTCAAATCGATATTATCGATTTTTCATGGTTTTAACGATTTATAACGGAAGTCCGCCATTGTTGTTTTTTTTGCATGAGTCAACTAAGAAAACACATCCACGAGTATCAACTGATCAGCAAACATGAAAATAAGAAATGTGGAAACTATTACACACAATTTTCTCCCTTTATTTAATTAGTACATAATAACAATAACGGTTCGGTTTAATTACATTCAGTTCTCGCAGGCAAGTATCACGAGAAATGCATCCTCAAATAAAGATTTCCTTTTTTTCTTCCTAGCCTGAATTTCAGACATTCGTTCGAGTCTGGATTCAGGCGAAAATATTTTCCTCGATAGATTTTCACTGTTTTCCGATATCAATCGATAAAAATCACTTCATTGCTGACGATTTTTATCGATTTCGATCTGTATCTATTTACTATTCCGGGTTCTCTTAAACTGCACCCGGATCTACACCGACGTTATTTTGAAAGGGTGGTAGATCTAATCCTGAAAAACTGGGCGCCTACAGACCTGGCCAATATCAGCCATCAGAAAAAGATTTTAAACCTGGTTTTAAAGAAAATATAAGATTTTTTTAAAAAATTTCTTTATAAGTGATGATGTTTGATAAACAACTAGTGATAAATGTTTGATCCTTTGACTCTCAATTGCCACTCATGATCAATTGTTAATAAATTTACTGTTTGCATGAAATACAATTCAGTTTTAATTTTTTGGTGAACAGATAAACAGATATTTCTTCCGATATGAATCGATGAAATCGGTAAAAATCAAGATAAATCGATAAACGAAACAAGTGTGTCATCGATTTGAACCGATTGATCGATACAATCGAATCAAATCAATCAATCAAATCAGATTTACCGATTTTTATTGATGTATCGATTGACAAATCAACACCGATTTTTATTGATTGACTACTCCGGACGAAATATAAGTTTATACTATAAAGGCCGTTAAGACACGATATTCCTCGGTGGCAGTCAATTTACGCGCAGTATGACTCATCGGTTTCATCTCTCTGTCTAAAGGAAAGGCCCAAATGAAAACTGGATCAGGCCGGATTTTTTTGTGTGCTCTGGTGCTAGTAGCGCGTAAACCAGCCTTTTTCATGACATTACCTAAGAGTTAAACAGAACTATCAGGCGTTGCTTGTTTACCGTTCAGACCTCGGTGAGAATTTGTCATTTTTTGTCCTATTTTACTTATAATTCTGCAGTTTTTTACAGAACAATCTTACAAGACAAATTACACTCATTCAATATTCAGGGCGATTTAAGCACACGCTTCCCTTCCACACTAAATTTGTAAAATGACATACAACATAAAACGTTTGTATAGAAAGAATTCATTATTAGACGGGACTGTTCAGTCAGGTCATTCTGCTGTTATGCAGCTATGCAGAATATTAAATAATCGGCTTTGAGCAAAAAATTCAAAAAAACCTTTTATTTTTTTAGTAATATTTCCAAAATCACCAGTCCGCTTACGATAATTTTAATTCACTTGGCCTCTAGACACCAAAATTATGCTCTACTTAGTAGTAACAAATTGTAATAGAATGTATGATTTAGTTTACTTGAGTTTAACTACTTTTAGCCATGTTTTGTTTGTTGTTTTTTGTTGTTCTTTGTTTTCTTTTTGTTTTTTGTTTAATACACGTCGACTTGTTACTTCAGCTCCTTTTCTCTTTGTATAATTATTTTTCACTACGCTTATTGTCTAAATGCCAGGCTTAACGTGGCAGTGACCAGCCTGGAAGCATTAGCTACTTCGGTCACTGCGCACATCTTAATTCCTTAATTTCTTGTTATCTTTATGTCAGACATTGTTCCGTAAGGTATTTATACAAATTAAAATTCCAACGTAAACAATATGTAAATAGTGCAAAAATAACAATTAAATCTGTAAATCTGTAAAAAAAAAAAAAAAATGTACTGGAAATATAATGTGTAAATGGTGTAAATAAAGTGTTGTGTTGTGCTTACCCACTTCTGAATCTTACCAAGCTGAGTCCAAACTTGCAGTGCGAGCTGTCAGGTGTTTGAACTAGTAGGAGGAGGTCTCAGAATATTATGCTTCATTTGCATTTTACTCCTTAACTCCATATTCATTTGATACACGCGGCATTTTAAGTACCCCTAAACGCGATTCATGTAGGACTGAAAATAACAACTGGAAAAGCGATAAGAACGAAGAGATCTTGACAAACAATCAAGACAAGAGAAAAAAAATTCAATCTGATGAAACATTTAAGAGGACAACAATGTTTATTCACGAAGACACGTATTGAGAGTGAAGTGTCTCTGTTATTACTATTAGATCTTACGGTTTCAGCTAATACACTCAGCTCTAATAAATACAGCAACAACAATATTTTTTTCTTAGCACACTTTCCAATTGTTCTTGATTTTTACACGCGGTTTTTAACCGCGGTCAATTATTTATAGTAAAAAAACATTCTGTTTCCCGTCTTCCCGTTCATTTTACCAAAAATTTATTGTCTCTAAACGTTGATATGCCTTTAAATGGGTATCTACACTTTGTTTATAGTTGAAGCCATCTTGATCACGACTTGTATTGATTAACTCAGTTCTCTTATTAGAAACTTTAACACGATTATGCATTCCTATTCTGATAATCCGGAATGAATCATCATAAGATAGGGGAATGATTGTCAAATACTTGATCTATTTTATGCACTAAAAATAAGACCTCGTAAGGTCTAATAAAAATCAAAGTGCAGCTGTACGTGTAGTGTTAGTTTAGAGTTTTAACAGATGACACATCGCGGACAAGACTATACCTTGACTGAATGGGACGGCATCCGTGGCAAGTTGCAAGAACAGAATTCAAGTCACTGGGGTAAATTTTGATCAAGGGAAAGGAAATTTATTTCGAGTTAGCGAGGAATTCGAGTTATCCGAGTTCGAGATAACCGAATAAAACTGGCGACTGAAAAGTGGGGTCAAATCCAAGGGGAATGAGTTACCAGGGTTCTACTGCAATTTGTTTCAAGTAATTATCTCAAAGCAGCTGAAGAATTATACCAATTTTGATATGTAACGAACATGGATCATTCGAATCATTTTTATCATTACTATATTTTTAATTGGATTAACGTAGCGCATTTCTTATTTTAGAAAAAGCTGGGTGCAGGGAAGAAAATCCTCTTAACTTTATCGTTGAAAACTCGAAAACGCATGAGGCATTGCTTTCCGGTGTTGCTGTTTTGAAATGTTACTTTGAAAAATGTTTTCTCTAGTCAGTGGTATTAATTCTATAAGTTCACCGTATTTCTTACCAGGTGTTTTTGTTTGTTTGTTTGTTTTTTCATTTAAATAACAACCAACTACGCCAGTTTATACAGTCAAGCCACATTCAAAACAGCAAGTTTCAGTCCCCGACAAAAAAATGATCCTGTAATGATGAGCTTTCCCTTGACAATTAAGGGAAACACATGCCTCGTCAATTTTCCCTTTTGCACGACCAAGGAGATTTTGTCATTTGAGAAAAACTTGTTAAGGAAACCTTCCTTGTGTGAATGAGGCTTACTATCAGGGATATGACAGAAATTTGCTACACCAGAGTCCCATAGCATCACAAGTTGGTCTTTAGAAGGGCAGGCAAGTGTCCTCGCGTCATGTCTTTAATTTCCAAAAATTCTCGAACACGTTCAGAGGTGTAACGCCCCACGTCCGTTCCATACTCAATGAGCAAAATGGCACACTTGAAATGAGCTTTTCTAAGCGCCGAATGAATCGGTGGAAAACCATCTTGATCTTGTATATTAACCAGAGCACCATATTGAACGAGTGTGTGAATGCTTTCGAGGTCTCCAGCGGCTGCCGCCTTGTGCAACAACGAGCGACCACTGGGACTTATTTGATTAACGTCTATATTCTCTTTTTCAATAACCTCTCTCACTTCCTCCGCTGAGTTTTCACCGATTGCGCTCAGAAGCATGGCAGAAGGAGAGAAGGAGATCCTTCGGCCTCGCTGCTTCTCTTGTAATGTTTCGTTGTTATTAATATCACTATCATGATGATTTTTTACCTTGTAAATGGTTTGGGACTGTATAGTTCCAAAGAAGTGCTTTCGAAGTCTTACAATGACTCTTACAAGCATTGGAACGGCATCGTTCTCTTTCATTTGAAGGTGCGTATCAAATATGCCCATCTCATCCTGCTCTTCATCTAAGAAATATTTCTCTCGAGGCTTTCTGTAGGTGGATGAAGACTCTCTTCGAGCGTTCAAGACATATTTGGAAATGGCTTTCAATTCATCTCTAAAATCTTCAACCGCTGGGATCCCTGTCTGGCATTCACACTGGTACTGGAATCCACAAATACTATCAGTCATTGAGAGATCACTGGTTTCTACACTTGAAGTTGGCGATGCCACTCTTCTTGGCCCAGCAGCGTATTCCCGTTGAACGATATCTGAGTCTCTCAGAAAGGGTTCGTGGAGAGTCGGGGCGTAGACAGGTCTTGGTAAAGGGGACAGCCTGAAACTACGCATATGGTTTTCGCTGTCCGATGTGGAATCATTGTCCCTTATGTGTGTCTGGACAGTAGAGCGCTTCTCCTTTTTCTCCAAAAATGAAATTGGCGAGGCCGGATCAACAAATCGCGTCCTATCTTCAAACCCGGGAAAACGATGAATAGAATCACTGCCGAGCTTGCCGTGGTACATTTGTTCGCTGTGAGAACTGACACTTGTAAGCGAAGAATAAGGGCTTTCTGATTCAGATGACTCAATATTTGAAGTGCGATCAAGGTTAATAGGTTTTGAAAGAGGTTTGTTCTCTGAATGTGGGTTTGGCGTTGCAGGAAAAAACACGTCATCACTTATCGCAGACAGCAATGTTTCGGAAAACCCGCTTTCTGTTAAAGTGTCCGTGTCCAAGGGAAATTTAGATTGAAAGTCACCGCATAATCCTCTGTCATCCAATTTCATTTCAGAACGCGTTTCCCTTGTCTGCAATCCATCTTTTCTAGGATTCATGTGTGGTCTACCATCTGGGCTTTGGGCAACTTGCTCAAAACGGGGATGATTTGGAGAGACTTTCGGCTGTAATTTGTAGCCGCCGGTTGCTTCTCTACTATCAGCATCACTTGTTTTGTAGTCATTGTTATAACCAATAATTCCATAAACACGATCAGCGAACTGTGAAATATGACTATTGACATACTGGGATGAAGGTTTTGCTTCGTTTACCCCAAATGACACATTGTTCATGTTTACGTTTCTTGACATAAAGTGATTTCGAGCTACGCTATGTTTTTCTCCGTTGTGTTCTCTGTGTGCAGACGGTCTTTCATCGTCAATCAGCTTGGAATCGGGACCATAATCTCTTTGTATCCGTGACATATGAATCATTTGCATCTTAATGACTTCTTTGCCCTCAGTGTCATAATTAATTTCGTCCTGTACAAAACGTTGAGTTCCTTTCTGGTAAGGTTTCATTCTGTCTGTTAAATAAACATTACTTTCGTACTTTCCATTCTTGGCGAGTAGTGGATAATCCGTCAATACTCGCTGTTTGCCTGATACCATGTTTATCGGAGATGTGTATATATCGGGATTTGCATTTAATGAGACTGGATTCCTTTCAGAAGAGATTACATCTTGGATATACATATCAACAAAATTGTAATTCGTTTGGTCACCTTCTGTTGACCCAAAGTCAACACAAATTTCGTTAAAAGAAAGTTGCTTGTCTTTTTCTTTATAATAATTGCTGATCTCAGGTGATTGATCATTCGACCCCTGTTTGTTCTCCGTGAGTACATCGTCACAGTACATTGACTTTGAAGAGTCATTACAAATTCCATCAAACGTTACCTCGTCGGAAGAATATATTGACTGTGCTTTTGATTTTTGCAACAAAGGCCTTAACTGCACAGTAACTGCTCGTTGTTCCTTTAATTCTTCATCTTTAACACCTCTTTCAAGTCTTTCAGAATTTCCTAGGTATCTATCATCGCGATTAGGGGCTTCTCTTGATGAGTTTTCGCCATTTAGCACAGTGCCCTGAGATGAACCCTTTGCCGTTGCTATGCCAATCGTGAGTCCATATCTGCAGCTTGAAGACGAAGTTGTATTGGGCTCGTTTGATATAATTTTCTTGTCTTCATCGTATTCTATGTCGAATGCTCCTGCGATCCTATTTTGCTCCTCAAAAGGTTCATAAGCAATGGAATGCGATCCTCTTGAGTTGAGTAAACAATCTTCTAAATTCATTGTCTCAGAGTCATTTCTATTCCATTGAGTACACATTTGTCTTTCACTCGCTACAAATCTACTTTGGCTCAGCGGTGAAGCTCGATTTGTGGATGATACCGGTGTATTAGAAATATTTGATTTGTTACTATCGCTATCATTTACATCCGGATTATTCACTATCTCTTTATCGCCATTCAATGCGCTTTCACTAATGTACTTACACGCATTGTCATCCATTTCTGACCACGTGAAGGTTTGTTTTTTTGACGGAAACGTGTGGGATTCCTTATCTTTGTAGGAACCGACCGGAATGATCAGATACGAGCGTTGTAGCTCCTTGCCTTCATCTTCAGCCGTTCCATCAAAATCCTCACCATCATGATCGTCATCGCTAGAAAATGGTTCTGAACAACTTGAACCAAAGGCATTTCTTCTATCAAACTTTCTACTCGCCATGATAGCCGATGTTGCGCAAGAAGAGCTGTCTTCAGTGAGTAGACTGGCTGCCAAATCTTCTTGAATCGCCAGACTAGTTTCAAGCTTTTTTTCCAGCGATTGGATTTTCCGTGAAAGAAAGTGCAGCTCGTCGAGTATTTTTCCATCATTAGCCATGTTGGTTATCAGATTCTGGATTATTACAATCCAACTAAATGTTACATTCAAAAGTGCCTGATAAAAATATCAACTTGGTAGCATTAGTTGATTACTAACAGGTGAGCATTACTGCTACATGCCAGTCTGTTTTTGCTACAAGTCCCCGCTGAAATTTGCCCACATATCGACGAGTATTTCAGAGCGGTGTTAATGGAGCATGTTGTGACCTTTGAGTGGACGCTGGTGTTGATTCTCCAGGGACACCCTCATAGTGACAGCCACATTGTCATGCGCGTTGGTGCCTGGAAGAAAGTTTAAAATCTCGAACAATACCCACAGCGTGGTATTATAATTACTTTTTAATTGCTCCATTCTCGTGTTTTTAGCTGCTTTTAAAAATATATTTTACTTTTATAAATATATCCTTAATGTCATCAATGCACGCATTGGCATGCGTTTATCAGCACGTACTTGTGAAATGAACACGTAACATGCGTGGCAACAATCACTCGCAACACCCAGATTATCGCATTCTCGGCATATTCTGATTACACACCTTCTACTTAGCAACAATTCATGATAATTATTTCCAAAATTAATTCACACAAAGTAATAGCTACAACAAAATACTCTTTTGAGTATCTCTTCAAAGTAACCAAAATCAATCTTTTCTCACTTCGGCTGACGCATAAGCTGGCCCGTCCCATGAAGTTTAATTTGACCCAGGCGGGGAAGGGGGTTGGCGGGGCCACTATTCGGCATGCAGAATAGTGATAGGCAGTACAAAGTACCTCAGCGAGCTCCAAATCAGTGTCAGTAACCAATGTGGGCGCAATGAGTGATAATTGATGAATATAAGAAGACACTAAAAGCAACTCCAAAAGCTAAACTTTATTTTATGCCATCATATTTTCGGATGTATTAAGACAAAAAAGGGACTGCAAAGCATTGGAATGTGCCACTCCCGGGTTTTTTCTCTAAAAAGACGTGTGATTTAAGCTTAACGTGTTCTTGTGGCTAACACGTGTGGTCTGAGATAAGGGAGATGCGAATTCCAAATAAACCTACTTAATACTCATAAAGCTTATGTGAAATGGGTCAGTGATTTTATTCTTGGAGAGGGGAAGGGGGTATAAGACCACTTATGACACCGTAAACAAAAAAAGCACAAATTATGGTTGGGTAAGACGAGAATGAAATTGAACGCTCATTTATACAAGGCACCATATCGGAAAGCAAAACTTATGGTGGATTAATGAATTCAAGTGATCAAATCTCCCCATCAATAATGACCTGGCCAGGAGCCATGGCTGAACGGTGGCAAAAAATGAAATGAAATGAAATGAGATAAATAAGTATATAACAAAATAAATAATGAAAATAACAAAGTAAATAATGAAAATTACAGGTTTTACATCAGTCCTAAAACGTACAAATCATTTTTCCCTTTTTTTCTTTTTTCTTTTTTTTGCCAATTTCAATTTACTGTCCTTGATTTAATACCGCTCAATCTAGATCTGTTGTAATTCGAATACCCAGCACTAGTAAGGGTTTTAAAGCAAGTTAGGAGTCACATTTTCGTGAAAAAACAATTTGACTGCTCCTTGGTCTCCGAGGATGCGTTTTATAGCACTAAGTGTTAAAACTTGCTTTCAATTCTACTATGGAATCTTTTCCTACGTAAATAAAGGAACACTTTGTTTAATAAGATACAGACAAGTGTGGGAAATATTTCTTCCATTTGCAGTTAAATGCACCACTGGTGTAACACGGGACATTGGCCAACGTTCGATATATTAAAATGCTAACGTGACTCCGAGGCTTTCTGGTCATTTTTCTATATTTTGGTTTGCTTTTCTTTGTGCTCAAGTCTATTCTGGGAAATTGCCAGACAATGGAATATGACGAACCTGGGCTATTCGCAACGACGATTTTTGGTACAATACAGCGTTGCAACATTCAGTTGCGATATTGTTTCGAATGGTTGCAGCATTGTTTCAACACTTACGTCACATATGAGCCTGTTAATTTCGCGATCAGAGGATCGAAGAACGGGCATGATAACAAAGAATTTTAGACAAAAAAAAATCTGAAAGTCTCGACTCGACTCGACTCGACTCAAGGTTCAAAACACGATTTTTGAATTAACTTTTATTCAAATTTTGTCTTTTACGATTCGAAACTGACTACTACTGTGCTTTTGGGCCCATTTCTGAACCATCGAGAGCTTGCATACTGTAACGGGCGGCCATCGTGGTTTCATATACCGAGGGGGTGGGCGTCGCGGGTTAATCATAGTCGGGGGTAGAAACCAAGACGGCTGCCATATTGAGCGTTCGACTTGAACTCTGAGCTGGAAAGGTAGGTAAACAATCTGGCAAACCCACAGCTTTAAACCAAAAATTGGCCTTTAATAGTCATCGAAATTCGTCAATTGTTAAATCTGCTGGGTATAACTATTATAATAAAGAAATAAATGTGGTCTCCTTGAAACCGTACTTATCAAAAACCGACATCAATTAAAAAGTTAATCAGTATACTGTATTCAGATAAACTACTTGAAAAATATTGCAGAGTTGATAGGTTTATCAGAGTGAAAAAAGCCAATATGAAGTAAATTAGACAGTGCTAACTTACTTTAATGTCATCCAAAACGACTTGGTTCCTAGCATTAGATTTTAAAAAAAGGAGAGAGAGATGAACAATCTATCAGCTTTCCCTAAAGGCTGAATTACAAGCATTTTTTTAATTATTTATAGCCTAAGGGGGGATACAGCATGTAAGTCATGTACCTTCAATTACTGTGTGCTAGTGGCCCAGCCATAAAAATAATAACTTGAATCTGATTCGTGTAATGCTAAAANCAGGAGTTCCGTCACCGAAACCACCGAAAAAAGGTGGAAGAGAATCCGAATTGAGGAGTCCGACTCGGATTAAAGTTTAGAAATAATATTTTAACATTATTTGCTTGCTGTAATGTTAAATTTCTGGCAGAAATTCAAGTTTATGTTATAATCCTTGCATGAGTTTTTAACTTGAATTCATGTAACAGAGTTTTGTCTTGGTCTGTCATTAAAGACGATAAACAAGAATTAAAATCTCAGTATATATATAATAAACACAATACCACATGGAAAGTGCTTTGTACGGTATTTACGCACTCGTTGTTTTTGTATCAGAAATCTCACTCGTTCGCTGCGCTCACTCGTTCGATTTCTGATACGTCAACAACTCGTGCGTAAATACCGTACGCCCGCACTTTCCATGAAGTATTCTCTATATACTGTATTCAGATAAACTACTTGAAAAATATTGCAGAGTTGATAGGTTTATCAGAGTGAAAAAAGCCAATATGAAGTAAATTAGACAGTGCTAACTTACTTTAATGTCATCCAAAACGACTTGGTTCCTAGCATTAGATTTTAAAAAAAGGAGAGAGAGATGAACAATCTATCAGCTTTCCCTAAAGGCTGAATTACAAGCATTTTTTTATTATTTATAGCCTAAGGGGGGATACAGCATGTAAGACATGTACCTTCAATTACTGTGTGCTAGTGGCCCAGCCATAAAAATAATAACTTGAATCTGATTCGTGTAATACTAAAAAAAATAAATATGAACATTTAATCTTTCGTGTTGTTGTTTATTCAGATACTGTTGAACACAGAACATTTTTTTTTAAGTAAACACAATCATTATTTGTTTAAAAGACATTACAATGCAAAATTAGAAATTTTTCTATTTAAGTGAATTTTTCAGAAGGACAATTGCTCTTTTCCGGTTCCGATCGAAACAACCACCTATACCGCAAACATGAAACACAGAGATAAACATTTACCTCAACGACGTTCGCATTTTTTTATTTGATATGGTACTTCAATAAGTTTCAGGTGAGATACGGTTGAATCATTGCATACGTGTCCTTTAAACATTCGCCTCAAAGGCACGATAACAACTCTTGGATAAAACCTGGACGTCTTCGTATTCCTTTAAACGTTGATTTGTGTATTCCTCAAAGCTCGCTCCCGACTCAATTAACAGTACAAGACACTCAAATTGGCACGCTGAAATCGCTAAACCGACTGCGAGCGAGTTTGTAGAGTCTCTCAAGTTTACATCGGCCGAGTTATTCAATAACACACGAACACAGTCGACCGCACCGCGTTGAACAGCTCGATGAAGCGGTGGAAGTCCACGGGAGTTTGTACATAAATTCACATCAATCTTGTTTGTTTCTATAATTTCAGCCAGCTCAATTGAAGCGTTTTCTTCGATCGCCGAAAATAAAAGCACATCCGCGGGAAAAGCGACATTTTTCGTTCCTTCGCGCGAGCGCCTTTTTATGGTTCGAAGCCCATTACTCATGGCTAATTGCTTTTGTCTGCATTTCAAAATACACTTGTAAAAATTCTTGGGACTTGAGGTCCATTGTTTCACAATCTCTTTCTTTTCTTTGTTGAATATTTCAACCTTGCGCTTTGCTTTAAAACTTATTAATTTATCGATGTCGTTGAGCCATTTGCCTGTACTACATCGCGTATCGTTTGTGTTCTCTGTCACTGTGCAATTTGTACCTCCCTGACCATCATTTCGTGACCCGACTGAAACTTTAGACTCTTCCGTGATGAATGAACTGTTCACCCTGTCTTTCACATTGGGCGAGCTTTCTCCTTTCCGCCGAAAGCAGTTTTTGCTCTCTACCACCGGCATATTCATTGGTAAAGTTATAGATTGTGCCCCTTTCGTTTTGTGGACAGGAAGCGAAGTATATTCAACACCTTCTTCCAAATAGTCTGATTGCCTAATCGCAGCCGCTTCAAGATCCTTGAGATGGAATTTCAGGGTTGATAAATACGGCGGCATATTTCCGTTCAAAACGTCGCGTTGGGATTTTTCTTGTTTTTTGTCTTGACAAGGCAACGTATTTTCCGCTTCCTCGCGAAATGTAGCCTCCGCTTTCACTGTTCTGGATCTGCCTTTGAATACTGGCATTCCAATATTGCCGCTTTTCCTTTCATCGGGTGAACTGCGACCTTCATAATTTAGAATCCTTAAATTGCAGCAAATATAACCAGAAAAACTACGCGGCTGCGGATCTCTTATCTGTCGCTGTTCGGTTTACTTTCGCCTCGGCAGTTCTTCTCTCGCACTGGTTCGGCGGTTTGTCAACTACTGGCAACCACTGTCCAATAATATAACACTCGAAACTTTCAAAATGTACTATCAAGTTTCAAAATTTCGAATATTGCACATATTAAAAGCGGACTTCCTGTGTCTCCAACAGGCACGCTCCACCTGAATCGAAGCATTTTACCGTTTAAGTGGATGGTTAGGATTTTTCAACGCGTTTTACTGTGTAGATTTTGCCAAGCTGCAACGCGTGTGTGTTAACATCACCGAAGACTTCACACGACCCTACGATTGAGTTAAAACTATATTGCACATAAATGACATTCCCAGGGGTACAGACGTCATCTTTAAATTTGCATAAATGTCAAAAATGAAGATATTGGTTTTCTGTTTGATTTGCTGCTATATCGATTCGAGCAAGCTTTTAAAAGCCAACTTTCATTCACGGCGTTGTATCTTCTGAACCAAACAGCTGGAGCTAACATTTATTGGATGTGCAATTTAATGGCAAGCATTTTTTAGACGTTCAGATCCCCGAACAAGTCAAATAAGGTCGTGCATATTAACACTTGGCGCGTGTTTTGTGGGCGCGAAGCCAATCAAGCACTCAACAAGTTATTGTATTTGTTTAATGAATTAGGTGATAATTGTAGATGAAAACCATCAAAATGGCAACTTCCTTAATTAAAATAGCCCCATAATGAATCTGTTTTGTTCCTGGAATAGAAAATGTTGCGATGTCGTTAGTTAATTAATGTCAGTGTATTTAAGAGATTCCTATATTGTGGTGTATGCGGGCGTGTAAACAGGAAATGGACGTGCCACGCGATCTGTTCGGAAAGGTTCGTTTCTAGAATCTGCGCCTAAAATATTACACTTAAATATTGCATAGGATATAGTTTATACAATGAACGTCTATTTTCTGTACACTGCTATTAATAGCCTATTCCTGGCGTTCAAATAGTCGGGACGGCACAAAGAGAAATGCCCAGGAAAAAAAGGGGGGCTTAGAAGCGGACTGTTGACAATAACTATCAAAGTGAAACAATCATAGGGTATACCAGAATCCAAAATACCGGAACGAGCTTTTGTAAAAAAAGTACCAGAAGGCTTTCCTTCGCTTTAATTCACCACCCCACCCACGACCCCCCGCCCCCACGGCATCCTACCCCTAGAATCTTTTTCCTCCTTCTTTGCGCCTTCCCCACTTTTCATGAACGAACACCTATTCAACCCCGCGACTAAGAACCTTGGATTTTTTCAAGTTAGCTAAACAGGTTCTTGTATAAAATAATGTTCGTTAGCACACGTTTAGGCTATTGGGTTCTTATGATAGGTTCTTAGTTTCCAAAGAAAAAAAAAATACAATATAGCTAAGAAAGGGGGGAATTTCATATATCCCATGATGCTTCGCGGCAAATTTCTGTCTTCTCTCCGCGGTGGAAGGAGCGTTCGAGAGTTTCGAGGGAGATTTTCAACGACCTGAATTTCAAGATGCAGCTCATCCAAGGTACGTTTCAATGAGCCCTGTTAATCTTTGGCATCTGATTGATAATGTAAAATGTTTCCAAGCTCATTTCACACATTATTGCTCTCATTTACGACCCTGTTAAGCCATGCTGTTCTAACTCGCAAGTGAATATTTATTTAGATGACTTTCAATTTTCGAAAACTGTCTTATTCTAGAAAGGTTTTGCCTTAATAAATTATTTAAATCGGTGGGCAAGGGGTGCTTGATACTATTTCCACTATAGCTAAGAGTATTTGGTGGTTCAGTTGCAGAAGTTTTTTCATAGATTTTAGAAAATAAGAACCTGTTTCAAATTTTAGGGCTAACAGGTTCTTAGTCGCGGGGTTTACTGTATATGAAATGCCCTACACTATCTCTCTTGCGAACAAAATGGACGTCTGTGAGGGAATCCTAGGTAATTGCAGCACGAGATTTAGGGCTCGAGGGTTCAGCAACGTGTCAGACCAAAGGCCTTTGCGCCTCGCGCAACTTGCTCTCGCAGCGCAGATACAGTACAGATACGGCTCCTAAGAGGCCTCCCTGCGTCATAGGCCGGGAGGCTTTGGAGAGGAAAAATAAAAGCGCGCGGGACTTTTTACTATTTTTACTCTCCCTATTCTTACTCCATCATAAAATCAAAGATGGCCGTTACAGCAATACGAACACAAACAACAAGCTTTCGCCCGACCAAAATACGCCTGCACTGCAGGCTAGCGGATGCATCTCTGGATATGAGACTAAAGTGGCCCGCTGACTAATCAGAGGAAAAAGGCTGGTAGGGAATCTATCTGAAGGCGAGTGAATTAAGGTTGGTGCGCTTTAAATGTCAATGCTGCTGGGAATGGCTATATGACTACTTCATGCATGATTCTGCGTTTTTCTCCGAATATTGTGAAAGAATCAGCTGACCCCTGAAGAATGACGAGATGTAATTGACCATACTCATCCTGTGTGGGTTCCTAGAGAAAATCTGAAAAAATTACCCGTATTCTCGGTTTTCACTGTCACGCCAATCAAAAAATTAAAAATGCAAACCATTAAATACCGAAAGTCTAGAATCAATATTCAAAAAGCCTTGCCAAGAATCAAGTCTGTGCAATATTTCATATGCGAGATATCTGGCACAACGTTTTACCCAAATTTATAAAGCTCTGAGACGCCATGTTGGTGTCCCTTTCAGGGACACAAATATAGCCGCCAGAAACCAACAGAAACATCGGTTTTTACGTTTTCCTACTAATGCGTGAATTCTTCGCTTGAGGAACTCATAAAGATTGAAGTAATATTTATTCTGAGACAAGGAATCTTTAGATAGGAAAATTTCCAAAAATCGGTAATAAGAGCTTTCCAGGCCATCAGCTAAATGCCACGTCACGCAAAAGAAATTCAACTGTTCTCTATCGCAAAACGAAGAACCCTTTCGAACCGAAAATTTGTTTGGGTAAAAAGGTGTTAAGGTACTGTGCAAGTAATACGTCATGAAAGTTAGCCTCCCCGCAGACGTCTTTGGGGTTCGTTCGTCACGCATTCATTACCCCCCACGAACCCCAAAGGACGTCTGCGGGGAGGCTACGTGAAAGTAGAAACTCAGAAGAATCGATAGCTTCTTAGTTTGAATTTTGGTGACGTCATGTAAAAACCGGAATTGGTGCATGCGCAACAATCGTGAAATAATATGCATGAGTGTGTGACAGAATAAATAATAAGAATCAATGAATGAAAGTCCAACAAAGAAGACATAAGGATGGAAGGGGGGATGAAAGAAAGGATGCCGACGACGAGCGGTCGAACAGAGTTAGTAGCATAACGGGTGCAGTTGCTTTTGCTGACCAGGATGTGCACAATCGAAGAAGACCGAATAAGGGTCGCCAATGGGGACTGAATCGGAATCTGTTGTATATATTGCTTACAGCTTTACGGTAATTAATGGGTGCTACAGCCAAATGGGTGAAGTACATATAATTTGTGAGTTAGAATCCAATGCAAACGAATTATAAAACTGATATACTCCTGAAATCACTTCATGATAAAATTACGCCTTTAGAGCGCAAAACTTCATTGCTGCTCAGCATGGTCGCTAAAATGTGTCCACTGACGTAAACCGTGCATATCGCAGTTGTTGGTGTTGTTGTTGTTTTCTTTTTTTTCAATTGCAAACATTTTGGCAAAATGAACAAATTTGAGAGGACAAACTTTATTGCAAGTATTATGAGCATGATATATTGTACACTGGTTTCCAAAGCTTTCGCTTTACGCCTTTCGCTTTAGTAAAAGGCTGCACACTAAAAGGAGGAACCCTATGGTTTTTTTGAATACCAATAAACCACCCTGAAAACAGGTCGCTAAATCTATTCAATCTTCAGTTAACCAAGAAGTATAAATTAATGAGTATACGAAACGTTAACGGTGAGAGAAAATCAAGACACACGCCTACATGGTTCATGTATTTGTAAGTGTGTTTCACTAGCAATATACCAATCCTGACAATCCAAGTTGTGTCATCAATGCGTCTATGAAACTAGAATCAGAAAAAAATATATTTTATTGTTCAGTTAAATAAGATCAGTTAATTTAATCATAGTCTCTATTTCGAAAGTTGTGTAATAAGAGGGGAGTCAACCGCAATATAGCGGTAAGTTTATCTCCGTGTCGCTGGCCAGTTTTGGAGCAATTTTTACAGCTGCCGCTTTTCGCCAAACGAGTGTTGCCATTACTTTTGTTCTCACAGACATCAAGAGGTACGCCATGCAAATAGCTAATTCTAGCTACCGTTTTACGATTTCTTCACCTGAATGTTGATTCATACAAAGCATTGAATGCTACGCGCGATGTAATTGGTCTTTATATCCATTATCTATTAGAGTATACGGACGCAGGGATGACCTCACGGAAAACTTGGCGCGCGGTGTTGAAAATTTTGTTACATTATTTCGTATTTAGCAAGTGGAAAGCTCATAAACCAAGACAAAAATAGTCTCGGCGACTGCAAATGCCTAAACGGGAAGAAATTTTCGCATTAGTTGCCATCTCGTGTCATCGCTACAAGGAGTGCTCGCAGTTTGGAAATACTAATTGCGCAATTATTCTGCTTTGAGCTGTAAGCTTTATCCACGAAAAGCCTCAGTGAAAATCGTTTGGGAAAACTGTCTACAAGTAAGATACAGACGAAAAGAAGAGCAAATACGAAACGTATCTCTTGTGACTAGAATAATACCTAAACTGGCACAAATCCTCGAACAGTCAAGCGGTACAAGGCAAGTTTGTATGAAACGAATAAAAAAAGAATGCAGTTTATCTGAGTTTGAATGTATTTAGCACCAAAGTGCTTATTGGGGACATAATTTTTACGAAG